GGTTGTATAGTGCTGAGCCCCTGATGCTACATGCTTACCAGCAGCACAACAGCTTTGGAGATGTGATTGTCCTCATCCCTCAGACGTCCTTTTTCCCAGCAGACAGGTTGGTTGCTCCCAGTTTCTCTCTCCTTGTAAGGAAGATTTCTATTCAGAGCAATGCTAATATACGACAACTCTGCTAATCTAGCCTGGGCCGCAGCTCCCCCTCCTGATATGCTGCTGGCTGTGCAGGGTCATGCGACTCAGAGCTGGCATCTCTTAAAGAAGAGCTTGTTAAGATTGGTGCCAGCTTAGCTCTACTCAGCACTCCCTTTGGGTCAGGACCAACATGTTTAGATCCCTGCCTGTGTGGCCTCCTCTGCTGTTTTCCACAGCAGCAGCACAGGACCCTGCTTTAATGGAGAAAGAGGAACAGAGGCACATGTTCAGAAAAGAGGTTTATTGGTCAGAATCCATCTGTCCATGTGCAATGTACAAGTTTCTCTGTATAACCCCAGTGTATGACATACCAAAGTGCTTTGGGTACATAGGGCTGAGAACTCCCTCAAGCCAGCTCACAGCAGCAGCCACCTGGGCCCTTACAGCATAAGGCAGGTAGTCTGCAAAAAGGGAGTCTCCCCTCCAATCCTAAGCCCCTCTCTGGGTGTTAAGAGTAACTACACCTTCCCCCATCAACCCACTAATGCACTGCAGGCCAGGTGGACAAAGAAGAGGCCTCAAGTTTGGGGGAAATGTCCCCTGGGACTGAATGGCTCAATTGTGCTCCATCTGCCATTGGGCTCCAGTTTCTGCGAGTTAGTGAGATGTGGTACTTGGGAGATGGAGGGTCTGGGGGTCTCGTTACAGTATAGCCTGGAGGCCTGGCTGAAACCCCCCCAAGGCACTTCCACCTTGTCTTTATGCTTCTGAAAAGACTCTGTGGCCAAGGAGGAGTGGGAGCTCAGGGCAGAGGGCATGGAAGCAGATTTTAGTCAGGCCACTAAACTCTTGCTCACATCAAAAAAATCAAGTTCCTGAAACAGTTGGAAGAAGGGAATCCAAGCCCATTCCCCCATCCAATGAAAAGCAAAGCCCTCTCCAGAGCAAAGCTCTCCATGAAATCAAGACTCAGGCCCAAGGCTAAATAAAGAAGGCTTTTTTCTGAAACCCATGAGAAGGTTTTATACTCTTGCAGATATGGTCCTCTTCTTTCCCCTCCCCCTGCTCAGGTCTCTGTTAAACCCAAATGCTGCAGCTGGTTCCAATTCTCTTACAAAGTGACTCGGCCACAGCTGACAACCCCTGCTTTAAGCAGAGGTAGGTGCCCTCAGCTGACAGCACCCTTGGGTGCTCCCTGGCATGGGAAATCTTGAATTACACTGAAGTCAAGAGAACGAAGCAAACATACAAAGGGTTGTTTCAGATGGCAAGGCCTGCAGGAGGGTGTGCTCAGTTTGACAAGCAAGCGATCCCAGCTCCAGCTAGGGTATGAAAATATGGAGATCAGAAAAATGAGATGACCAGAGAAGCTGACTTCGGGTGCGAGACTGGCCTGGAGAAGCTCCCAAGGATTGCACAGGTGACCACGTATGCTGTGATGCCCTCTGAGGACAGCCCAGAGGTGGACACGAGTTGTCATCTCCCTGCTCTCCTCTCACGCCGATGTTCCTGGCCCAATGGTGATGCTACTGTTGGTCACGCGGATCCCGTACCAGCCAGCCCAGAACTGTGTGTCCTGCCCGCCGTGTTTAAACAGGATGTAGCGAACTCCCGGCTTGTAGTTGCGGAAGGTGTAAGACATCTGAAGGTGAGCAAGGAGAAGCAGTGGGGTTATCCCAACCCAGCAGTTCCTGTATCAGGTACACTAAGAGCCTTGGCCTGGGGAGGAGCGTACTTCCAAACGCTCCCTTATCTGGAGGTGGGAGACACATTTGGAAGTCCTAGCAGGGCTTTAAGAGGGGGTTTTGTTAGAAATGTAAGCCCTGGCAGCCTGGGGTTGTATACAGCTGGATACCAGAGATCAGGGCTGTCCCTGGGCAGGGAGGGTGCAACTGCCCTGGGCCCCACATTTTGGGGGGCCTGCACAGGCAGTGCCATACAGGACCCACTGCAGCCCCACTGCTGCCTTCTGCAGGTGGTTGTCACCCCCACCCCCCCAACCCGCACAGGCTGATATGCCCTGGGTCCTGCACACCCCTAGGGATGGCTCTGCCAGAGACTATTAGTCCTCTTCTTGTTCAGCAAAGCAGGTAAGTGGAGGCTGAAGGGTCTGGATGAACCCAGGCCTCCAGCTTTCACCCTTGTCACTGCTGGTGAAGAATTTGGGGGGCGGGGGGAAGAGAAGGAGGCATTTTCAAAGCAGTTGGGGGCTGCAGACATGCCCTCCCATTAAAACACTGTCCCAGGGATTTAGACAGCCCTTCCATTAAAACCTCAGGCCTCACCTGCACTGCAAGGTTTTCTTGGCAAAGGTCACCTTAGAATCAAAGAATCAATGAGTGGGAAGGGACCTAGACAGATCATGGAGTCCAACCCCCTGCCATGGGCAGGA